GGCTGCGACACCAGAGTTGATGTGGACAGGAGTGCCACCGGCGAAATCTGATGCGAGCCAAGCTCGAGGAGCCAGCCATTTGCGTTCCATGTCCAGTAAGCGATGGGGTCGTACACAACAGTGGCCCAGATGAAGACGAAGACCATGGCGGGGAGGATGCGACCGCGGTCGGCGATGGCACCGATGGCAATGGCGGGACTATGGCCTGTAAGAAAGAAGATTGCAAGACTCGTCAGAGAGAGACTCACGTAATGGCAGCAAAGAGACCTTGGTAGATGGCGAACATGATCTCTGGGATGGCGCCAACTGGCTGGGCGACGACATTACGGAAGCCGATATAGTCCATGTTGCCGAGGAAAGCATTGCCCGTTTGCGAGAAGGTCAAGGAATAGCCCCAAAAGAACCATTGTACTGTCGCGACGCTATGCGCAAGCATGATCATGAGCATGAGCGAGAGTGCCGACTTTTCGCCGGGCGAGACCGGCATAGAAAAAGCCGACACCGGGGATCATGAGCAGAACGAGGGCGGAGGAGGTGCACATCCAAGCAATATCACCAGACTAGAGGAGGAGAACAGTCAGCACAGCGCCATGTTTGCAGAACGTGGTTTGCCATCTGCTCACCTCGTACCAGACGTTCATGTTGGCAACGCCAGCTGAGGTGCCATCATCGGCCGCCCCCTCAGTGCCGTTGTAGGCCTCGGTATAGAGGCCAGCAGACATGGCGGCAGGGAATTGTTGTCGATGCTTTCAGTACTGCTTCGGCGCCGGAAGGCCTCGTTTTGGATGCGTCCAGAGCACTCGCGGAGGAAAAGTGACAGAGGATTGTTGATCAACAGCTGACACGAAAATGAGAGAACAGATTGCAGTCACACAGAGGCCGGGGGTAAAGGCAGCCTAAATAAGAACCTACGGACCAAGGCGTGATCTCCATTCTCGCTGCAGGGCGCGCTCCTTCCTGCACTTACAAATGACAGACAAGACTTTTGATAGCGAAGCAAGTACCGCAAGGTAGGTGGACAGACGGGAAGCGAACCCCTGTCCGTAACAATGGAGGGTCGATAGCTGAGCAAGCCGGGTCGGTCTGGGCATGGGATGGCGGCTTGGGAGCATGGGGATCCCTCATGATAGCGACAAGACTGAGTGGATCGGCGAGCGAACAGCGAACGACATCAGAGAGTCACACCAGGGAGTTGTTTCCCCGGATCAATGGTGTCGACGCGCGGTGGCATCACAGTGGTGCAGAGCGCGGGTGCCAAGATATCGGGACAGTGATCGGAGCAAGCTAGGAACGCCGTGTGTCTGCTTCTGGAGGCATATGCTGCGACGCGAGGTAAAATATGAGACAGGTAGCCTTGGTGCGTCGAAGCCTGGACGGGTTGGTGTTCATGTGGGAAGGGAAGACGTGTCGTGTCACGCCACATCGGGCGACAGAAGGCGGATGGCCCCTTCGGACATGGATGTGGAACTGATAAGGACATGGCTCGCGCCGGGGGACATGGGGGGCACGTGCTTGGCGTGTGGACGTGCTGTAGTGGCTAGTGCCAGGGTATCAGGTACGAAAGCCCTGTTGGACGATCATTTGCATTCGTACGTTGTATCGACCCGTCCATCGAACACGCTGAAGGGCACAATGAGGCACTTGCAGGACTGTCTGAGAATGGGAGATGAAAAAGAAGAAACCAACTGCTTTGCACTGCGCGGCTGGCATTTTCAACGTGCGTCTGCGACTGCTCACCAAGGTAGGAGGTTAGGATTGACCCCCACAGAGCATGTGGCTGGTGCCTCGGTCAATGCACCCACCTTGCCGAACCTTCATGTACCACACCTCGACAGACCTACCTACCAGCCGATGCGTCCTTCATCACTGGCGTCAACTAACCGAACATAAGTGCCATTCCGACCGGGGTATTCTCGCCGATAGATATGCTTGGTGTCGATGAAATCGAATTCCTCAATCGCTGACCGCTTGACATGATCCCCCCGCTCGTTGCACCACTGTTAGTATCGCCCAGGCACCATGCAACTTGGAGTGTAGGTAGACTCGATCGTTGCACTAGTGTATGGGGAGTATCGTGTGGGACTAGCAATTCCAAAAGTGAAAGGCACGATCAGGCAGAACGCAGGTCCAGGGCCATCTGACCGCTACAGGATATTTCGATCGCCGAATGAAATAGCAGTCCTGACGAGTTGGCCCGGCGTGACCTCGTTCTTCATCCTTTCTGCTTATCTGCCAGAGCTTCCATGCCGTCGGAACCAACGGAGTCAAAGCTACAACCTCGCAAGAAGGGGTTTGTTCCCCCCCCCCCCTTGCCTGTCATCTGCGCCAGCGCCTTATTCCCCTGCGGCCGTCCAACCTGTCAGGACAATGAGCGAATGAGCGAGTGCAGGTATTAATTAGGGTGGTCAACCATTAACAGCCCGACAGTGCCAGACGTCAATACATCCGAGAAGTGCTTTAACCAGCCCGAGACATCTCTAGACTGCCTCTCGTCATGGTCGCACTACCAAATGAAGATGACTTGGACTGCAGTCTTCTTCTTGCATTCCAAACCATCGTACTTTCCGACAGGCTTGGAGTCCTCATCAAAGGAAGCCTTGTGGTCGTGGAGCGAAGAGGAGGTATGAACCTTGGGGCTTGTTCGGTAAGAATGACGTCTGATTGGGAGCTCTCTTATCTCTCGGCATAGTGGGTCGGTGGCTGCAGCACATCCTTGGCGAGATAAGGGAATCCCTGCGGGACCTTCCTTGACATTACCATCCATCTCGAGCCTGCCTGGAAACGCCAACGACACGCCAAATGCAGCGGGTTCTGGGCCAGACAAACACAAAGCAAACTGCAATGCGAACACTGCTCACGGTTCCGGCATCCAGGTTCTGGAGGAGTGCCTGTCTGGACAGCCTGCGTTATCAGCCGTGTTCCATTAGTGTTTGCGCTTGCTAACAACTTCAACCGCCAAGCGCCCAGCCGCCATCCCACCGTCGACCTCCCTCAGCGTGTCTTTGATCAGCTTCGGTCCTGATACCGGAGCAGAGGCTTGATACTAGTAGTTACCAGAGAGAGATAATCCTAGTGACCGGTAAGTATGGCGGCGAACCAGACCCTACTTGCTGATATCGAGATAATCATTGTGTCAGGACCTGAGGGAGGTATGAGACCGATAGGGGATAGCCTATTATTTAATCGTAGAA